GACCTATTTTTTTTTTAAATGTGGATTTTGTGCCCTGGGAAGAGTGCTAAACCTATGTTTTGAAGACAGGGCTAGTGGTGTGCTGCACAGACCATTGAAAAAGAACCATGTTCTTCTGGTTGTGTAACTGATTTAAAATTGTAAAGACAGCACTCTTCACTAAGTTTGTTACCTGAGACAAGGGCTTGCTGGGGCAGCAAAATTGCTGGCATTCTTTTATTTTGGCTCAAGGACTGCTAGACTGTATTTTCATGTGGTTGTCTGGTGATGCCCTTTTGTTGTTGTTTTAAAGATATAACTCCATTATAGGCAAGGGGGAAGGGTTTCTCTCCCGGCACAGCTCAGCAAACAACAAGAACATTGTATGGAGCAACACGCTCTTGCTTGCTTGGAACTATCACTTGCTTAAGGGTATCCCAGCTCCAGCGTGTTGCCTGATAGGGCTGCAAAACTATGACCAAGCGAAGAAACATAAGCATCTCTCCTTCTTCCATCTTCAACTGACTAGCTCTTACCTTCTGGTATCAACTTCAGCCTCCCTTATATGGCAAACACATTTGTCCACTCATAGCCCAAGAAACTCTTGAGTGTCCTAAGATGAACTGTCACTGCCTTTCAACTCTGTAAGCTTCTTATGGGCAGGAAATGCATGTCTTCACTTATATAGTCCTTTGGAGTGCTTCTTATTTGTCTGAGATGTGATGTTATACAGTTTGGTATACTAAATGAAACCATGTTCTGTAGTCTGTGATGTGGGAAGTCTGGGATTGTTTATGGAAGTCAACTCATGGATAAAAGAAATACGTCATACTGTTTAATTGGGCTCTTTCTTTGTACTGCTGACAGTCTCCCCATGACGCCATCGAAAACTGGGCTTCGCTCACAGATCTTCAGTATTGGAATGCCTCTTAAAAGACTCTTAAAGATTTAACAGCAGCATTTAAAAGTACTTCATTTGTAATAATTCATTACTGGCAGCTGAGTCCCCTAATGACACACGCATGTGGCATTGGCAGATTGTTGTCAACAATTTATTTATTCCCCGTGTCAAAATCTGGTCATTACTATTGTATCAAAGGTCTTCAAGTGTTTTGGGAACGGGCCATTTGGAATTTTGAATATGTGTTGTTAGTGCTCTCACAAATTGGTTGCTTTGGGGGCTTGCCCGTTCACACAAAATAGCTGCCTGGTATGACCTAGCCAGTTACAAAACATCAGTTCACCAGAATTTTACCTGCTTGCCACTCTAGCACCTCATGGAAATCTCTGTTGGCTCTGAATAAACAGAAGTGGCTTGTCAGACTCTTAAACCAGGGGTTCCTAACCCCTGGGCTGCGGCCCACTACTGGTGGGTCTTGAGCCTTTTGGAACTGGGCAGTGGAAGTGGTGGGTGAGCATGCACATTCCCACTTGCACAAGCAGTGAGGGTGTGTGCATATGCCCCATTTGTGCGAGCAACATGTGTGTGTGCCCGCTGCTTGCGCAAATAGAGCTGTGCATATGCACATGCTTGTCCACTGTGCACGCAGAACCATTCCCACCCCACAAAAGACGAAAAGGTTGGGGAACTCTGTCCTAAACAGATCACTTCACTTTTATATTTCTGGACTGCCAGTACAAAGAAGAGGAGAAAAGAGAAAACACAAAAAATTGAGATAGGTTGATACCATAATGAGATGTAAGTGTGGAAAGGCTCTAAGAATACCTTTCTGGGTACTGAATGTGTGAGGACAGAAGGCAGTGGTTCTTAACCATTTCTTCATCAGGGACCCCCTTTAAAATTTTTGTGGCCACCGACACCCCCCCCCAGGTCTTAACTCAAGGTTTAAATCATAACATTTCTTCAAGCCTTCGCGAACTCCTTTTGATGACATCGCTTCCTCCCCCCCCCAAGCGTCTCTGACTCCCTGACATAAGGCATTATGGTGACAGGACATATAGTACTGTGAAATGGGGTGATGGGAGTAGACATAATGTCTTTGCTGTTGTGTTGCCTTCAATCATGCTCAGAAGCAGTGGTGAAATCCACTTACCTTCGCTACTGGTTCAGGAACGGGAGTGCATGGGAGACATGCCTCTTCTGCACATGCGTGGATGGTAAAAAAATGGGACGTAATGATGTCCCGGCGGGTGGCCCGAACCTCCCACCGCTAGAGCTACTGGTTCGGCGAGCCAGATAAAACCGGGGGGGGGGGGGGGGGCACTGCTGCTCAGAAGATACATGGTTGCCTGACCATGTAGCCAGACATACCTACCAAATCTGGCAAATGAACCTGCATCTATTAATGAAGATGCAAGAGCAATTTGTAAAACAAAATGTGGTTAGATTTCATGTTCTTTCGCAAGCTAATCTATTGATGCCCTCTGCTGTTTGGAAGTCAATAACTTCATTCTTTCTTTCTGTAAACAGTAAAGATTGTAAGCAGTTTCCAGTACAAAAAAAGGAAGGGGGGGAAAAAAGAGAGAGAGAGAGAGAAAAGAACTGGAACATTATAGAAGAACATCTCCCAAGGACCAAAAGGCCAAATGCAGTTGCCTCTGGAAATGATTGAAATGGAAGTTTGGCTGGACTTGATGTTTACATGGCATTTGTGGAAAAAAAAACACACCTCCCCTGTCCCCTTTTGTTCTACAAGCATTCTTATAGCATGGGGGTTCAATTAAGTGGATATGAGACTTCTCTTAGTTGAGGCCAACTTTCTTTTTTATTATTACTTATTTTAGCACTCAAATAGTTTTTCCACATAAAGGGGCCTCTGGGGATCGGAGGAGCTAGCTGTGTTGGGGAAGAGGCCTTCTTGCTCTTCTAGAGAGCCCCTGTGCTAGGAAGGCAATAGGGAAACATTCTTTTAACTCTTAACTCCCACCCCCCAAAGAATTCCCTGCAATTCATAGTTAATGTTGGCTGAGGAAGAAAACAGCAACCCTCATCGGTTGCTTCAAAATCAAAAACCCTAGTGAAGAAATCTCAGTATTTAAATATTAATGCTAATAACATACCTTTGATTACTTTCTTATGATATGCATGTGTCAGAGTTATTTGTCAACTCTGAGACGATGCAGGGATAAATGGCTAACAAATTCATACCCTGTTTTCCCCAAAATAGGACATCCCCCGATAATAAACCCAATCGGGCTTTTGAGCGCATGGCAATAAGACCAAGCACTTATTTCAGGGTTCAAAAAAATATAAGACAGGGTCTTATTTTTGGGTTAACACGGTATCAAAAGCTAAACCACTCTTATGATCCACAATCCAGGGTGCTTCAGGTCTCTGACTATCACGTGTTCTAGTGGAATTCAGGGCCTTCACACCACAGTTATTTTTTTATATATTTCTTTATCTTAAGAATTAGTCTTTATGTTCTTCATCTTAAGAAGTAGTCATGGCTGCAAGATGTAGTAGGTTTGTTTGTTGATTTAGAGTGGTACCGTGAAACAAACCGATATGAAAGAGATTGCAGAGATGTTTTCTGAACATTGATCCGAAACAACATTTTTTTGGGGGGGAGGGGGGAATGTGAAATAGTTCATCTCGTGAGCAAGGTATGCTGGTATTCAAAAGGATATATAATGCAGATCAGTATTATATTTTAGAATGTTAGAAATACCAGTACAAAAATATTCACTGGACTTCTCCATCTCTTTACTGCTTACTAGAAGATCAGGATGTACTTGGTGTATGTCCGCATACCACCACAGATTTCATTGAATGATTTTGGAGCCATCATACACTCCCTTTCATCATCTTCCCATTCTGAAAATAAAAAGAAGGGAAGACTGAATGAATGTAAGCCTCGTTGAATTTCATAGGATATAAATATAATAGTAATAGGTTTTGGTGGCTAGATGGAACACTTTTTTTTGTGTGCAACTCAAAAGATACGATAGGCAGGAGACCGACACAGTGGTTTTCCCCAAACAGGTTGAAATTTCCCATTGGATTTTATTCTACTTTTATTTTTTGTGTAACATTTTTTTTTAATAATTCATGTTTGTTTCTGTTTTCATGGTATTATATAATAGCACATAGGTGCTATTTTTATTAGTACTACAATTACTACTATTATTTGTCAGCCATGCATTGGGATGTTTTTGAAAACTGCCAGTAAAATTTGGCAATAAAAGATGAAAAAAATGGGGTTCAGGATCTCATCAAAGCCCATATTTGTAAGTTGCCAGAGTCCTGCCTTATTGTCAAGCACTGTAGTTGTTTTATTTAAAATTGGAAAAAAAAACTAATAAATAAATAAATATTAAGTGTTAAAACTGCAATATCCCCCCTTTTGCTCAGTAATGTTTTCTTATAACACTAGGCCTCTGGCCTTGGCAGCTGATGTTGTCTAGTGAACAAATCCTCTAGAGTACAGCCTTGATAAGCCTTGATTTAATCCTGGGCAGTTGCTTGAGAAAACAAATTTTGACGGGTTCTTACAGTGTGGATCACTCAATCAATGTACATTTTGGATCCTTTCCCAAACACCTATTCTAAAATCTGCCTAAACATTCAGTTACTTTACAGGGAGCAAATAATTTCCATGCACAGATAGAAATGCTCAGCATCAATGTTTGGTGTATTTGGTTTATTTTGGTGTATCAGTGGTTGAGCCAGTTTGGTGTAGTGGTGAGCCAGAGGTGTAGAAACCAGGAGACGGTGAGAGTTCTAGTCCCACCATTGGCATGAAAGCCAACTGGGTGACTTGGAACCAGTCACTCCCTCTCAACTCAACGCACCTCACAGGGTTGTTGTTATGGGTGAAAATGAGGAGGAGGAAGAATTATGTATGTTTGTCCCCTTGAGTTACTTATTAAAGGTGGGATAAAAATCAAGTAAATAAGTAAGTAAGTAAGTAAGTAAGTAAGTAAAGTAAGTAAGTAAATGTGACTGCTGTTAGATGGTAAGAGGGAGGTACCAGTGTTCAGTCGAAATGCATGTTATCTTGCTTTTTTCTGTGTTATGACTGCTAATGTTGGGTCTCCTTTGTGTCTTGCTCTTTTAGGCTGCCACACCTTGCATGCCTGCTGGCAATCATGAGCTGGTAAGTGTGTTTCCTTTTCTTTTTCTTTGTCCCTTGCTTTTATCTATTGTATCTCATTTTTCTGCCCAGAAAATTGCCTAAAGCACTTAATTGTTGAGATGAAAGTAGGTAGGTGAAGTTTAGGAATTAGAAGAGACAACAACTTGTTGGAAAAGCACATATATGCATGCAAACTCTGCTGCAAGTTTGTATGTTCTTCATTTTTAATAGATTTTCCTGAATGTTTCCAAAAATACGATCAATGGAGAAAATACAGAAAACCCGCAGCAACTCCACATTTCATACCAAAGAATTGGCTGCATACAAACAAGATCTGTATATCTTTCCATTAAAACATGAAAACTAAAGAAAAGCAGGAATTTTCCTATACTTGTTTTCAGAATTTAATTACAGATGAATATTGCACAGTTTGCATATTTACTGGTGTACACATATTTTCAGTATGTGTAATGGGTGATGGAAGCACATTTCTCATTATGCAGTAGGGTTTCTAATTGGTCTTCTCTGTCAACCTGCTGGATCTCTCCTATGCGTTATACTTTTTGGTTCTGCAAACAGAATTATACCAATTGAATTCAATTTGGCATCTTGCTTTTGTTATCACATTAGGGCTGTGAAGATTGTCCAGCCGTTATTATATTGGTAAAAACGCAATGACTTATTGTGAACTGTTGAACTGGGCTATTCGAATATTGATCTAGATTTACTCCATGCCATTTTGGTATATTTCTGAAGTTGCTGAATGAGAAATCAGCAGATAGTGTGTTCAAGTCCATTCTTGGATGTGGAAGCTGGCTTTGGGGACTTTTGGCTACTTTTTTCTTTCTCTCTTTTAGCCCAACCCACTCTTACAAGATTGATGATAACGGGAAGATAAGAGTCTGAGGAATAATGTGTGCTCCCTTAAGTTGTACAAAATAAAGGCAAGAGATGATGATGATGATGATGAGGAGGAGGAGGAGTGTGTTATACAATGAAGCAACAAAATTCTAAGGAACTGTTAAAGGGCCCAGCAAGAAGCAATATTGTCTTTGTTTACCCCCTCCCTCCTCCATGAGAGAGAATTGAAACTCTGTCAAGATTTGCCTTGTTTAGGAGATTCCTCAGGCATTCTCTCATATTAAGGCTGAGAACTCATAATGGCTCAGAAGCCTAATATTAGAAAATGATGCCCTAAGATTTCCTGGGTATTATAAATCTTGGTTGATGAGTTGGGATGAAGCCCATATAAAATCTTCCCTATATTAGATATTCTCAAGTAGATAAGATTTCCAAGAACATGTCTATGTAATATAATGGCCTAGAAACCACTCCCTTTTCAACAGGAAGGAATGTAACTACTGGTAACAGACCATTTCCTTGGGACCATGTGGGAATTTAATGTCTCACATTGCTTTCAAATCTTCCTTGTTGAAAAAAGTTATTCAATTATTGGCAAGTGACGCATATCAACAACCCATTGTTACAGATCAAGTGTAGATTTTAGGTATTCAGAGATAACTTTCTTAACTCTCTGACAAATCCACAGCTCTTCATGTCATTACATTTCAACTAATATCTATAAAGGAAAGAAGAACACATGCATATTTAATATTGCAATCTATACAGGGTCATATTAAAACATTCTTGATTTCACACTAAAATGTGGCAATAATAGCATAAGTCCAAACTGTATTTAATAAGCCATCTCTTTGAAAGTTTTAATCAAGATTGAGATCAAGATCAAGGTTGTTGAGAATGTGGTAGCGCGACAGCTCCCCCAGTACCTGGATGAATCGTCGTATCTGGATCCGTTCCAGTCGGGCTTCAGGCCTGGGTACAGCACGGAAACGGCATTGGTCGCGTTGGTTGATGATCTCTGGAGGGCTCGGGACAGGGGTTGTTCCTCTGTCCTGGTCCTATTAGACCTCTCAGCGGCTTTTGATACCATCGACCATGGTATCATGTTGCACCGGCTAGAGGAGTTAGGGGTGGGGGGCACCGTCCTACGGTGGTTCTCCTCCTTTCTCTCTGACCGGTTGAAGTCTGTGTTGACAGGGGGGCAGAGGTCGACCCCGAGGCCCCTTGTATGTGGGGTGCCACAAGGGTCGGTCCTCTCGCCCCTTCTGTTCAACATTTATGTGAAGCCGCTGGGTGAGATCATCCGTGGTTTCGGGGTGAAGTACCACCAATACGCTGATGATACTCAGCTGTACATCTCCACCCCGGACCACCCCAATGATGATGTCCTTGAAGTGATGTCCCGGTGCCTGGAGGCCGTGCGGATCTGGATGGGGAGAAACAGACTCAGGCTCAACCCATCCAAGACCGAGTGGCTGTGGTTTCCGACATCCCGATATAGTCAGTTGGTGCCATCACTGACTATTGGGGGCGAGTCACTGGCCCCCACGGAGAGGGTTCGCAACCTGGGTGTCCTCCTGGACTCACGGCTGTCTTTAGAAGAGCACATGACGGCCGTGGCCAGGGGGACTTTTTATCAGGTCCGCCTGATTCGCCAGTTGCGTCCCTTTCTGGATCGGGACTCGTTAAATACGGTCACTCATGCTCTCGTTACTTCCCGCTTGGACTACTGCAATGCTCTCTACATGGGGCTCCCCTTGAGGAGCACCCGGAGGCTCCAGCTGGTCCAGAATGCGGCCGCGCGGGTGGTTATGGGAGCGACGTGGCGCTCCCATGTGACCCCCCTCCTGCGCGAGCTGCACTGGCTCCCGGTGGTCTTCCGGGTGCGCTTCAAGGTTTTGGTTACCACCTTTAGAGCGCTCCATGGCATCGGACCGGGGTATCTACGAGACCGCCTTCTGCTACCAATAGCCTCTCACCGACCAGTACGCTCCCATAGAGAGGGGCTCCTCAGGGTGCCGTCGGCCAAACAGTGTCGACTGGTGGCCCCCAGGGGGAGAGCCTTCTCTGTGGGGGCACCTACCATCTGGAACGAGCTCCCCCCAGAGATACGGAAGATCCCGGACCTGCGCACGTTTCGCCGTGCTCTCAAAACTTTTCTATTTCAGCAAGCTGGCCTGGCCTAACTCCCATCTTTTAAATTTTTAAATTTTTTAATTCGTGATTTTACAAATTGGGTGTTTTAATCTGTGTTTCGGCCGAAATATTTAATAATTTTAAGGGATTTTTTAATATTTGTATTATCTGTATTTTATCTTGGCTGTTCACCGCCCTGAGTCCTTCGGGAGTAGGGCGGTATAGAAATTTGATTAAATAAATAAATAAGATAAACAAAGTGGTTAGAACACAATCTAAAACCACAATACTGTACTACTTATTGTTGTGTGGCCTATTGGAAATAAATTCAGATTTATTCCGTTTTATAGAATAATTAGGCAAGATGTGAAACGTATATATTAATGAAATGAGAAATGTCCTATTGGCATAAATTCTGATTTATTCTCGTTTATAGAATAATCAGGGTATGAAAATCATGTATTAATGAAATAAGATTAGGAATAGAGAGTTTTGATCTATCTGTAAAAGTTACCATGTGATCTATATATGGAATTTTATTCCCTAGACTCAAGTCTACTCACATTAATGTTTTCAGTGTTTTTAATTGTCTAGACAAGATGTCCTTAAGCCATTTTTTTTAAAAAAAGACATCTTTGGTATGTAACTCATAAATTTCACAAAGGAGAGGCACACCATTAATCTTAATTCCTGATTTAGGAACTGAGTAAATTATATGATTCAAGATCTGAGTAAATTATATTAATCCAAACAAAAACTTTTTGAGGAAACTCCCAAAAAAGTAAGAGCATGTTAAAAAAAAAACCCATACAAAAATGCTTTCTCAACATTCAGGGCTGTAGCTGCTGAATCCTGTTTATTTTAAGTTAAAACAAGAACATTATAAAAATCAGAAGCCTAACCCTGAATAAATCCTGGCTGAGCTTGGTACACAGTAGTTGGAAGTAGTTGGATAAACTGGTTCCAAATACAGATAGTCCTTGATTTACGACCACAATTGAGCCCAAAATTTCTGTTGTTAAGTGAGACATTTGTTAAGTGAGTTTTGCCCCATTTTACATCTTTTCTTGCCACAGTTGTTAAGTGAATCACTGCAGTTGATAAGTTAGTAGCCTGGTTGTTAAGTGAATCTGGTTTCCCTATTGTCAGAAGGTTGCAAAAGGGGATCACATGACCTGGGGACATTGCAACCATCGTAAATATAAGCCAGTTGCCTAGCATCTGAATTTTGATCACATGATCATGAGGATTCTGCAAAGATTGTAACTATGAAAAACGGTCATAAGCCACTTTTTTTCAGTGCCGTTGTAACTTTGAACGGTCACTAACCAAACTGTTGTAAGTTGAGGACTACCTGTAGCTGTTAAAATCCTTAGCATCCAATTGACCAAGGCAAGTGATAGACAATTAGAATATATGGTAATATCCTTCTCTGGTTTAGGAATAATTATAATATTAGCCTCATTAAAACTGAAAAACGGATTTATTTGGGGAAAAAAGTCACTCGGGAAAATAGGAGATTATAGGGCCCAATATACAATATACTGAACCATCGAAGATCAGGAGTTTTCTCCAATTTCATAGATTTATCTGTAGTGACTGTTTCTTAAACTAAGAAAGTGAAGCAAGATTAGTAATCTGGTCCTTGTGATAATTTTACTTTTTGTTAAAAGCAAACTGTCTTGCCATCTTTTGCTGAAGAATGGGAATCTGCACACTATTTGCATCTCCAATAACTGGTACATTTATGTTTGCCTGAAGAATACGCTACATTTGTCTCTCTTTCTCAATATTTCTGCTTTGCTTGATGCAGTATAATAAAATTCTACTTTGGAAGCATAAAGCAGTATTAAGTTCATCTTTAACAGAGATATTGTAACTTTAACTGTAAAATATTGGTCAGGAAATGGGTAGGATAATGAACTAATAATTCAATCAAGCTTGTTGCTTTATTTTATAAGCAGCATATGTGATCATTCAACCTCAGATAAATACTTTGGAGATGGTCTATATCAAAGACAATG